TTGGTACATATAGCCAACCTCTTGTTCATGCATAGGTATATCATCTAGGTAAACTATCATCTTTATTCTTGTCACTACACCCTTTAAATAATATACTATATATACTATTTAATATATTAAATATTAGTTAAATAGTAATTAAATAATATTATTTAAAATATCAAATTTTTGCTAGTATAAAAAAAAAAAATTTATATCTTTCTTAATTGACGATTTTCCAGTGAACTAAAGAATGTTCATAGTGAAACGTGATGCAGTTCTATATGTAAATTACTATAGGTGTAAAAGTAGAAATTTTCTAGTAATTGTCTAAGAAAAACTTTTTTTATATTAAGTTAATCATCTTTAAGTCTTTAAGTAATTAGATCATTCAAATCAGCTTAGTGGATACCAAGATATCTTTAAAAAATGTTTCATTATAAAAATTCTTTGGATTGTTTTTAAAGAATTTTATATAGTTAGCAAATGTTTTTTAAAGATATCTTGGTATTCACTAGGCTGATTTGAATGATATAACTACTATTAGATTCATCTTAATGAGCTTTACAACTTTACTTAGAGACTCTAAGATGATTAACTTAGTACAAAAAAAGTTTTACTTGGACAATCACTAGAAAATTTCTATTTTTGCACCTATAGTAATTTACATATAGAACTGCATCATGTTTTACTATGAACATTTTTCAGTTCACTAGAGAATCGTTAATTAATTTTCAAGACAAATTATAAATATTAATTGTCTAGAATGAAGTAACAGACTTATATTTCTATATAGAGATAATTTATTCGTCGCAATGTGATATTGTCGCATCTGATGCAGATCATAAAATCAGATATAATATGAAATCAAAATAGCTATTTTCTTTTATTAGTTAGGGTTAGAGATATAGAATAACTTTTTTTTAATTGGCCAACCACTTACAATTATATTTATATAGTTTAAAGTATTTTTTAAGAATATAACATTTGACAAGTAAAAAATAAAAATTAAACTCATCTCTAACTTCGAAGAAGTGCTAATAGTTACTATGCAAAATAATTTCAAATAATTCTACACCTAGAGGTACCTTACTTAGAAGATAAAATTTTTAAGTATACTATAACTATAGAACTATATGTAATTACTAAAATGTTGAATATACCTGGGTTATTGAAAAAAAAAACTAAAAATACAACTTTTTTTTTAGAAATAGATAAAGCGATTTCTAAGCTATATTAAAGAAATTTTGAAATATAAAGAATGTTAATATATAAGAGTAGAATTAGTAACAAGTATTTAAAACTTTATATACATATATATACAGAGATTACTACAAGGCTTTAACATGTCTTATCATAATGAGCTCTAGTATAATAAACTATAAACCTTTAAATATTATATTAGTTCAGTGTAAAAGGGTGTAATAGATATTTAAAAAAATATATATAAGCCTTTTTTCTTCTTTATTCTTTATGAAAGTGAAGAAACGATAAAGAATTAAGTTTATGAATATAATATAGTTTGATTGGTTGATTATCACATATTGTACTGATGGCCAATTATGATGTATTATTCAATTTTATATGATCGACCAATTATGAGAAAGTTATTCTATATGAGTTAGAGTAAGGTTAGAATTAGTATACAGGCAAAAAAAGGTTCTATAGTAAAATTTGAAAAGAATTTTTTTTGTTAGAACCTAAAAAGTGGTTTCATACATTAGCAAAATATATAAGTGTAATCTTATGTAAGTTATTACACCACAAAATATTCTATAAAAATTACGATCGATGCGGAATATTTCAAAATTTTTAATTTCGAAATCTTATATAATAAATTTTGAAATATTTCAAAATATGTTTCAAAATATTTCGAAATATATTATATAAGATTTTGAAATATTTGTATTAAATTTCGAAATATTTTGAAATATTTTGAAATATTTTGCAATAATTCGCAAAATTCAAAATTAAACAATACATATATGACATAAATATTGCAATTCGTAAAACAAATTATAAACTATTACATATATATTTTTATACATATTAAATTTTTTTATTATATTTATTTACAATATGTATAAATCGCATCATGGTGTTTAATACCACTATGGTGTTCAATACCATATTACGTATATAAGTAAATAATAAATTGAGCTAATTAAAATAAAGTAATTTTGATTTATAATAAAATGTCAAATGCATACACTAATGCCTTTTTTACTTTTTTATTGAACAATGTGATAACGATAATGTATAAAAAAAGTAGTACAAGTAACGTAGCTATAAATAAAGACTTTTCTCTCACAGATTTTTTTCTTGTAGATTTTTTTTAAGAACAATCATTAAACTTTTCTTGCTGTGACTTTGGTGCCAAGGAATCTTTTGTTTGCGGTAACCCTTGTAGCAGTGTTGTACATTTTGACTGTCCAAAGGCTTTTTTGGTACTGTCCAACGTCCAAGTGTCCAAGTGTCCACAAGTGTCCAAAGCATGTTCAAGCTTTAATAATTAATAAATTTGTTTAAAAAATATAGTCAGACCTCTCTATAGTCACCTCCTCTATAGTCACATTTACTTATAATCACATAAAATTTTAAAACCAACTTATATAGCACTTATAAATTTTAACCTTTATATAAGCACAAACTCTCTATAAGTACCAAATTCTTAAAACCAAAGGTGTGATTATAGAGAGGTTCGACTGTATATAATTATATATTTTTTTATATACTGAACATATTTTACTTAGAAATTAATATAGGTTATATTAATAAAATTTTGAGTAATTTTAATTTATTTAATTGTCTAAAATTGTCTAAAGTGTCCAAACTTACTGTCCACAACTGTCCTGTAACAATACTGCTTGTGATGCTGCTGAGGAATTTGTTTGTGATAACCTTCGTGATGTTGAATTTCATATTGCCAAGAAGCCTTTTGTTCATAGTAACCTTTGTGGTATTGAGGAATCTTTTATTAGAGGTAACTTCCATAGTGCTGAGAAATCTTCTGTTTATAATGACCATTGTAGTGCAAACTATTCTATCATCCATGACTATTCTATTATAAATGATAATTCTATCATTCACAACCATTCTATCGTCCACAACCATTCTATCATCTACGACCATTCTATTGTCTATGACCATTCTATCGCCTATAACCATTCTATCGTCTATGACTATTCTGTTGCCTATAAACTTTCTGTTTATGATCATTCTGTTGCCTATCATTCTGTTGCCCATGATTATTCTGTTGCCCATCATTCTGTTGTCCATCATCCTGCTGCTCATGATCATTCTGTTGCCCATGGTTATTCTGTTGTTCATGACCATTCTGTTGTCCATGACAATGCTATTGCCTATGACCTTGGTCAAGTTGTTTGGTCTGCTATTCATGATCACAGCCAACAGTTATCCTCTAACTATATAGCAGAAGGACAATCTCTTAATGAGTTTTTTCAAGAGACTGAAAACAGCACTGGATATGAAAATGAAACCGAAGCTGAAAATAGACTGTTATATCCAATTGTAGTTGAAATAGATTTTAAAAGCTGGGAAGAAATTGATGAGTAAGTAGTTTATGCATCATTATTGGGACATATTAGTTGTAAAGAAAATAATTTTATAATTAAATATGAAGTTGCGTATGCATCTTAGTTGTTATTGATAAGACTAAAGTATTTTTTTTTTTTTACTATTAGATGGTTGAAGTTTCATGGGTTAGAACAAGAGTTTGCATTTACAATCACGTATAGTGACAAGAATAAAGATGATAGTTTACCTAGATGATATACCTATGCATGAACAAGAGGTTGGCTATATGTACCAA